GAGAGCCTCTGGAACGTGCAGCCCGTGCACTGCAGCCCCAGCGCCTTTGGCCTACTCCTGCATCGCAACCGCAGCCTTCCCGCGCGCCTTCAAACCCTTCCCGCAGGCCTGCCAAGCATACTCGGGATCCACCTCGCGTGCGCAGCCATGCCGTCGGCGCAAACCCGGCCTTCGCTTTGCGCCGGCCGCACTGTGCGCACACCTTCGTCTCTTCGCACGTCTCGCACACGCGGTAAAACGTGCACTGCGGGCGCCGGTACTTGGCGACAAATGCATCTTCTTGCTTCCACATGTAGCAGGCCATGCATTGCCAAGGCTGCATCATCGCCCCGTGACGTTGGAGACATTCTTTACAGTGTCGAGTGCGCGAAATGCAGGCGAGAGTGCGATTTGTCCGGTGTGCGCGCAACCCTCTGCGGAGATCGTGCGTGTCGAGTGCGCGAAATGCAGGCGAGAGTGCGATTCGCCGGCTGCGCGCGCAACCCTCTGCGGAGATCGTGCGTGTCGAGTGCGCGAAATGCAGGCGAGAGTGCGATTTGCCGGGTGTGCGCGCAACCCTCTGCGGAGATCGGGCGTGTCGAGTGCGCGAAATGCAGGCGAGAGTGCAATTTGCCGGCTGTGCGCGCAACCCTCTGCGGAGATCGCGCGTGTCGAGTGCGCGAAATGCAGGCGAGAGTGCGATTTGCCGGCTGCCCGTGCAACCCTCTGCGGAGATCGTGCGTGTCGAGTGCGCGAAATGCAGGCGAGAGTGCGATTCGCCGGGTGTCCGCGCAACCCTCTGCGGAGATCGTGCGTGTCGAGTGCGCGAAATACAGGCGAGAGTGCGATTTGGCGGATGCCTGCGCAACCCTCTGCGGAGACCGTGCGCGTCGAGTGGCGAAATGCAGGCGAGAGGTGTGGAGTATCTGGGGAGCTGGGAGATGAGCACTAGTGACTTTGTAGTACAACTGTAGTACGCGGAGTAGCTGGGGAGCTGGAAGCTCAGAACTGGTGACTTTGTAGTACAACTTTGGTACGCGGAGGAATCTGTGGAGATGGAAGCTGAGAACTGGCGACTGCGTAGTACAACTTTAGTCCGCGGAGTATAGCTGTGGAGCTGGAAGATGAGAAGTGGCGACTTAGCAATACAA